AGCATAAGCACTGTGCATGCTGCTGCTGCAGAGCAGAAACACTGCTGCAATAAGCAATTAGCAAGCTGCTTTTCTGAATATGGATTTATTAACTGTAGGTCTAAATGAGTTTCAGTGCTGGGTTAACAGTTGTGTTAGCGTAAGAACTGACACATAACCACCGGAATGGTTATATGAGGTGCTTTATTGCAGCGCTGGGAAACCAGGGGCACGCGCCCAAATCTGGCTTCGACCCCGTCACATCGCGTTCAAAATTTATGCATAAAAGTTTCGCAATTAATGCATATTCAGCGTGTTGCTACATTAACTAATACATATGCATCAAGGATTATTTCGTTAGTCCATTACATCAGCCTCTTCTGCGCTTGCGCAGCCCCCTCTGGTGGTCGTCCCGGTGAAGTAAGGAGTCTTCCTCACCTTTTCACCTTTCTGCTCTTTGGACAGGCCCCAACCATTATGTGGATGTCAGCATTCTCACTTCCTCGCTTGGCTTGTCCTTTTATGTTGCAATTATTTCACAATGCTACCAATATTGCAGAGATGAAATTTTCTGCTGCTTAAGATACATGGTTTCCATTTCTAGACAAAGCTTCCTTGTAAGCAATACAAAAATTATGAACGTCTGTATTATCAAGACACACAGTTAGAAAAAGCTTCCTTGTCTAACCACAAGGTCTTAGGCCAGACACCCTGTGTCCTTCTCGTCATTGTTTCTACTGCTGAGAGTACCACAGCAAAGTTACAAAATTCTTTTAATATACAGAAGTCTACTATTGATTCAAAAACTTTTCAAATACAGTCATTTCTGTTGCTCTATATAATTATTTTAACGTAAAATTTCACTTTTTCTAACAGTTGGACTCAAGGATCTTAAACGTCTCTTCCAACCTAAACAATTCCATAATGCCATGTACCTACTGAGTTCAGAAGGGCTTTGCAAAACCATGTGTAAGGTCTGCCACCGTGTCTTTGATTTATTCTGGTGTATCACTGACAGCTTTAGCTAAACCAAGCCCTTCCTGTAAACCCTCTTTATCAACCATCATGAGGGGTCTCTCAGTGTGTGTTTTCTGGGAAGCCGGCCCGTGCAGCTTCGCCGGACCTACCGGTGTCCCGCAGACGGAGCGCGGGGCGGGTACGTGATCGAACGCTCCTCGGTCCCCGGGCCGGGCCCCTAGGTGTCACCGGCACTGCGCAGTACACCTCCAGCACCCCAGGCCTCCAGCGAGGCCCGGCATAACCCGCCGCGACTACCAAGACCCCGCCTGTCTCCGCCCTTGCCTCACCACTCCCTCAGCTCTCCCCGCCCGCACAGCGCCGCCTGGCGGCCCAGCCAGCATGGTCTCCGGCAGCCGCTCCCCCCTCCCGGGAGTTGGTCAATGGAGAGGGCGGTGGTGCCATCGAGCCCCGCCCTGCGCGGCGCGGATTGGCTGTCCCGCCGCAGGGGGGGAGGTGCCGCCAGCACCCGAGGGCGTGGTGCTGGCGGCAGCGGGCGAGCTCAGCGCGGGTGGTCGCCATCATGTCGCGGGAGTTCGAGTTGTGCCCCGGGCGGCGAGTTGGCGGCGATCAGCCGTGCTTCATTATCGCAGAGATCGGGCAGAACCACCAGGGCGATCTGGACATCGCCAAGCGCATGATCCGCATGGCCAAGGTGCGCAAGGCTGCTTTGCCGCCGCCAGCTGGGCTGGTGGGCCGGGGGGGGGGGGGGGGCGGTAGTGCGGCTGCCCCGCGGCCTCGACGGTGCTTTCCCCTCCGCGTGCTGAGGGGCAGCGGGAGTGTGGTGTCACCGGCGGTGGGCGGGGAAGCCGGGGAAGGGCGGGAAGTGTTCTCTGGCGGCAGTGGGGTGGGATAGCAGGGAGAGGGATGGGGTTCTGCCCCTCTGCACCGCTCTGTGAGACACACACACACACCCACACCCCCACACCCACCCGGAGTCCTGCATCCAGCTCTGGGGCGACAATACAAAAGGGACATGGAGCTGTGGGAGCGAGTCCAGAGGAGGCCCCGCAGGAGGAGGTGCTGCGAGGGCTGGAGCAGCTCTGCTCTGTAGACAGGCTGAGAGAGCTGGGCTGGTTCAGCTTGGAGAAGAGAAGGATCCGTAAGGGGAGACCTTAGAGCAGCTCCCACTGCATAAAGGGGCTACAAGAAACATGGAGAGGGGCTTTGTACAAGGGCCTTTTGTAGGGACAGGACAAGGGGAATGTCTTTAACCTGACAGAGGGGAGACTGCGATGAGATCTTAGGCAGAAGTTCTTCCCTGTGAGGGTGGTGAGGCCCTGGCACAGGTTGCCTAGAGAAGCTGTGGCTGCCCCATACCTGTCAGTGTTCAAGGCCAGGCTGGACAGGGCTTGGAGCAACCTGGTCTAGTGGAAAGTGTCCCTGCCCGTGGCAGGGGGTTGGAACTGGATGAGCTTTAAGGTCTGTGATTCATGATGCACAGGAGGAATTTGTAAAACACAGTAGCTAGCAGGAGAAGGCAGTGGTGGTGAGAAGCAGCAGAGCGGGTGATGACTTTGTAGCCCTCGGTCTGTATTTTGCAGCCTGTGGACCCTCTCAGGAAGCCCCCACCTCATTCACAGTACATGTACCTCTCTGCACACGGGCAGATTAGACAGCCTCTGCAGGGCTACCAGCAGCCTTCCAGCTGTGTCACAAGGTAACTGTGAACATTGCAAGAATCAAGTAACTGCCCCTGATGAACCTCCGATTTGATCCAGTTGCATTAGAGTTCTTTAGGCCATGTCAGCCTGTAAGACAGCCAGGCTGCTTTGAAATCTGGTATTGTAACCATTAGATATACTTTTGTTAGAAAACAGCATGTCATCACTGTATAAGTCAGGGCATGATGAATTCAGACCTGTGACTGGAGTATATGTACAAAATAATGTGGTCAATTTAACTGCACCGTTTGTGTTGCTTCAGACAAATTTCATGTTCGAGCTCCTCGCTCTGCAGAATCTTGTTGCTTGTTTTCATGTCAAGTTACCATGTGGCAGCTACGCTTTGAAAAGCCACAGAAGTCCACTTCAAATAAGGGGCATGCATAGAAAGAGGCAGTTCAGTTTTGTAGTTTTGGTGTGTTTTCTTTGTAGACTGCTACTCTACTACATATGGAGGCATTCTGAAATAGAAAGACTTATGTGTTGGCAGGCTGTCCCTCACTCATTCCTGTTCATACCATTTCTGTGACTGATGTGATGATGATGTTGAACTTGATGATCTTAAAGGTCTTTTCCAACCTGGTTGATTCTGTGTGAAAACTCCACTGCACACCAGCCCATCAGCTGCACGGTCCTTGTGCTGAGGCACGGGGTAAGCGCTCAGTGTGTACCCGCTTGTTTTGCAGGAGTGTGGAGCAGACTGTGCCAAGTTCCAGAAGAGCGAACTGGAGCACAAGTTCAACAAGAAAGCCTTAGAAAGGCCCTACACGTCTGAACACTCCTGGGGAAAGACCTACGGAGAGCACAAGCGCCACCTGGAGTTTAGCCACGACCAGTACAGAGAGCTGCAGAAATACGCAGAGGAGATTGGCATTTTCTTCACAGCTTCTGGCATGGATGAGGTATGTAAGCTGTGCTGGAATGACAAGCAGAGTCCAGCTGTTGTGTCGTGTTGGTTGTTCGGTTTTCTTTCATAAAAAGAATATAAAATACATAAGAATGTTGAATTTCTAAATCAGGAAAACAGAGTAATTGTACCTCTGCAAGGTCGCTTGTATCTACTGAGTGATGGCTGAACATCTAGTGAGATGACTGAACATCTTGGAAGACCTGCCATATATGCTGAGGTGTTTATGCACAGTAAATCATATTAGAGAAAAGGCCTCTGTTGAACTTCATAAACAATCAAAAGCTTTGAGAGTTTAGAACAAGATTGCAACCTGACCACTCTCCAGAGTTGACTGGTATATTGGCTCCAAGTGTTTCAAACCCCCTCTGCATTTAAATCAGATTCCTTTCTCAAGTTATTCTCAACATAACCCCTATTATTTCTCTCTTTTTTTTTTTTCTTTTCCCTTTCTGCTGCCTACTAGGCCCCAGTTGGTATTTCTAAGCATCAGAAATGCTTCTATTCCTTTTCTTTTACTTATCTCATGGGGAGGGTCTCCATTTTGTGCTGTTGCTACTGAAGCATTTGCTGCTTTTTGTCAGTGGGCCACTGAACAGTCAGTCACCAGCTTGGGGACTCCATGGAGCTCATCTTCTGCTTTTCACCCTTAGGGTATGAATACTTTAATTCTTATACATTACCTGTCTCAAAATTATGTTAGTTACATTGTTTTGCAACTAATTTTACATCATGCTGCAACAAATGCAATGCACAATTGAAATGTGTAAACTGGAAAGATCAGGAGCAGTTAAACTGCAGTACAGATCAGAGGTTACAGATTGGTTTACTTTTCTTTGTGGCCTAGAAAACACAGAGAACCAAACAAAGTAAGCCAGCCATTCTTGCATCAGGTAGGCACAGCAATGTTCCTGTCTTTCTGCAAGTAGCCTTACTGAGGGTAGGATTTGCTTAATGTTTTAAGGTGATCTATTCAGTGCCTCTTTCTCCTCCCTGATGTATCAGCTTAAGCTCATTTCTCACAACTGACAAAAGTTCATTCTTTCCTTGTATCTCGTTCCTGTGTATTTGAACACCATGGTCACATCTCTTCTTTTCATTTGTTTTTTGTTTTGTTTTTTTTTAGCTGGACTGAGCAACTTCAGTTCATTCAGCCTTTTTATGCTGTCTTTTCTAGTCTTCTGGACATTCTCACTGCTTCTGTCAACTTACTGTCTATTGACCAAAATCCATGAATTGCTGTGCCCCAGCTGAGATGATAGGAGCACCAAACACCATAAAAAAAATTACTTCAGAGGTCTGACAGACAAAATGGTATTTTGCATGAATTGCCATCCCCTGATGCCATGGGCTGAGAAACAGATCTGTGAAAAGAGGGTGTTGCAATGCTTCTTTTGTTGTACTCTTCAGGCTAGGGTTTAAACCATGACAAATAGTTAAGTCCAAGAGTCTTGGAGTATCTGGAACCTTAAAGACCCAAATGCCTTTAGCCGGGGGGTGGGGGGTGGGGGGTGGGGGGGGGGTGGGGTGGGGGGGGGCAGAAATCACTCTCGTTGTTATTAAAGCCTCCAGCTTATAAAGGCTATTGTGCAGTGCAGAACACCTTTCATGTACAGCAGCTAAGATCACTTTCCACCTCTGGGATCCCTCTTTTTTTCAAGATGTTGAGCTTCTTTGTGTGTGGCTTCATCAGCTAATTAACAGTACTGATATATGTTTGTGTCTTCTTTTTATCATGGCGGCATTTCTGCTAGAGAGGAGCTTGGAACTCACGTCAGACATTGCATAAATGGATGTAATGAGTTCCTGAGAATACATTGACTTGTGTAAATTGAACATGATCTCTGGAACTCCAGCTATGTTGAAAAGGTTAAATTGTGTGTTTAACTATATGACGAAATCAGTGAAGTGATATGTGAAGTAAATATAGCGTAAACACCTTTATCTACCTTGTTCTGTGTACTGGAGACAGAACAGGATCCTGTGGAACCACTCCCTTTAATGTCCCTGTTGTTTAAGATTACTTCCTGATGCTTGAATCTCTTGCAGAAAAGCATTTTTCAAGAGATATTTACCAAATGAAGTGACTTTAGATAAAGTCACTTTGTGCAGACTTCCTCAGATATCTGTGGTTTTCTAATAGAGTGAATTCATTGCCTTCATGCACAATGCATCTTAGTGAATAAATTCTATTGAAGAGGTGTTATGCATCCTGGCTACAAAAAGTTGAATCCACATCATTATGATGATGGAAAAATTAGGCTGAAGAAGATGTGATTCTCTTCTGGACATTGCTGCTCTTTCTCTGGCAGGAAGTAGATTTGGCTGCCACAATGAATGAGCTGAGGGAATTATAAAAATGCTTGTGGGTGGTTGAAGGGGAACAAGGTTAGGTAACTATTTCATTGTTTCCACTGGATGTGGTTAGAGGATTTTTGTATCTTGCCTGTGGTAGATTTGGGATTTTCTTCCTTTAAAGTACCACACAGCTTGGCATCATCAGCAAACTTGCTGGGAGTGCACTCAATCCCACTGTCCATGTCACCGACAGAGATGTTGAACAAGAGACGTGGTGGGACAGCTCACATGACTGGAATATAGTCATGGAGGGCTATGTCCTTTTCAGGAAAGACAGGCCAGCCAGGAAGAGTGGTGGGGTTGCTCTTTATGTGCGGGAGGAACTACAATGCACCGAGTTCTGTCCGGGGACAGATGACGAGCGAGTTGAGAGTCTGTGGGTGAGAATTAAGGGGCAGGCTGGCAGGGGCGATACTGTTGTAGGTGTCTGTTACAGACCACCAGATCAGGGTGAGGAAGTTGACGAGGCCTTCTACAGGCAGCTGAGAGCGGCCTCACAGTCACAGGCTGTGGTCGTCGTGGGGGATTTTAACTTCCCTGATGTTTGCTGGAAGGACCACTCAGCAACCCAGCCACAGTCCAGGAGGTTCCTCCAGTGTATGGATGATAACTTCCTCCTGCAAATGGTGGATGAGCCGACCAGGAGAGGAGCGCTGCTGGATCTCATCCTCACTAACAAGGAGGATCTGGTTGAAGCAGTGAGGGTTGAGGGCTGCCTTGGTTGCAGCGACCACGAGATGGTGGAGTTCAGGATCTTGTGTGGTAGGACTAGTAGAATACCAAGTAGAACTGCAGCCCTGGACTTTAGCAGGGCAAACTTTGGCCTTTTCAAGCAATTGCTAGGGGAAATCCCATGGGCAAGGCTGCTTGAAGGTAAAGGGGCCCAAGATAGTTGGTTGACATTCAAGGACTGCTTTTTCCGTGCTCAAGATCAGAGCATCCCGACATGTAGGAAGTCAAGGAAGAGGGCCAAGAGACCTGCGTGGCTAAATAGGGAATTGCTGGGTATGCTCAAGTGGAAGAGGAGAGTTTACAGGTCATGGAAGGAGGGGCTGGCCACTTGGGAGTAATATAAGGCTGCCGCTAGAGGATGTAGGAAGGCAGCTAGGAGGACTAAGGCCTCCTTAGAATTAAACCTGGTGAGAAGGGTCAAGGACAGCAAAAAGAGCTTTTTCAAATACATGGCAGACAAAACTAACACCAGAGGCAATGTAGGCCCACTGATGAACGGGATGGGTGCCCTGGTGACAGAAGATACAGAGATGGCAGAGTTACTGAAGGCCTTCTTTGTCTACTCTGCTGCAGGCAGTCCTGAAGAGCCCTGTACCCCTGAGACCTTAGATGAAGTCAGGTTGTCCTGGGTTCAGCAGTAGCAGTCATGTTTTTCCTTTGTGTTAACTGGTGCAGTGCTGTGTTTTGACTTCTAGCTTGAGAACAGTGTTGGTGAAGCCGATGTTTTCGGTTGTTGCTAAGTGATGTTTACCCTGACCAAGGACTCTGTGAGGCTCATGCTCTGCCAGGGAGGAGGGGAAGCTGTGAGGAAGCAGAGACGGGGCGCCTGACCCGGGCTAGCCGGGGAGGTATTCCATACCACAGCACGTCATGCCCGGGGTGGGGGGTAACTGGGAGTTACCCGGAAGGACAGGGGCTTCCGGGTGGAACTCGTTTTCTTGGCCGGTGGTATCGTATTCTCTTCCCTTGTTATTTTCCCTTATCATTGTTTTAGCTGATAGTAGCGGTGGTGATTTGTTGCTGGACTGTTCCTGTCTCAACCTGTAGGAGTTGCACTCTCTCGATCCTCCTCCCCGTTCCTCCGGGAGCGGGGAAGGGGAGAGCCCCGGTGCGGGGGGGGGAGGGAGACGGACACGGACCTCGATTGTTGTCAGCTCGGCACCACTCACTGGGAGTGAGTGAACAAGTTACTTGACTGGGTTTAAACCACGACACAGGTCAACGGAGTGGTTTGCCTTAGTCGATGAGGAATGGGTTAGAGATCAGTTGAGCAATCTGGACATCCATAAATCCATGGGTCCAGATGGGATGCACCCGCGGGTGCTGAGGGAACTGGTGGAAGTCATTGCTAGACCACTCTCCATCATCTTTACCAAGTCTTGGGAAACGGGAGAGGTGCCTGAGGTCTGGAGGAAAGCAAATGTCACTCCAGTCTTCAAAAAGGGCAAGAAGGAGGACCCGGGTAACTGTAGACCAGTCAGCCTCACCTCCATCCCTGGGAAAGTGATGGAACACCTTATCCTTGGTGCCATCTTAAGGCATATCAAGGATAAGAGGGTTATGAGGGGCAGTCAACATGGCTTCACCAAGGGGAAATCATGTTTGACCAATCTCTTAGCCTTTTATGAGGAAATAACATGGTGGATGGATGATGGCAGAGTGGTGGATGTGGTCTACCTTGACTTCAGCAAAGCATTTAACACAGTCTCCCCCAGGATCCTCAGAGCTAAATTGAGGAAGTGTGGACTGGATGATCAGGTAGTGAGGTGGACTGCGAACTGGCTGAAGGAGAGAAGCCAGAGAGTTGTAGTCTATGGGGCTGAGTCTAGTTGGAGGCCCGTAACTAGTGGAGTGCCTCAAGGGTCAGTACTGGGACCGGTATTATTTAATATATTCATCAGCGATTTAGATGAGGGAATTGAGTGTACTATCAGCAAGTTTGCTGATGACACTAAGCTGGGAGGAGTGGCTGACACGCCAGAAGGCTGTGCTGCCATCCAGCGAGACCTGGACAGGCTGGAGAGTTGGGCAGGGAATAACTTGATGAACTATAACAAGGGAAAGTGTAGAGTCCTGCATCTGGGCAGGAACAACCCCAGGTTCCTGTATAGGTTGGGAAACGACCTGTTAGAGAGCAGTGTAGGGGAGAGGGACCTGGGGGTCCTAGTGGACGACAGGATGACCATGAGCCAACACTGTGCCCTTGTGGGGCAATGGCATCCTGGGGTGTATTAGAAGGGGGGTGGTTAGTAGGTCGAGAGAGGTCCTCATTCCCTTCTACTCTGCCCTGGTGAGACCACATCTGGAATATTGTGTCCAGTTCTGGGCCCCTCAGTTCAAGAAGGACAGGGAGCTTCTGGAGAGAGTCCAGCGCAGGGCAACTAAGATGATTAAGGGAGTGGAGCATCTCCCTTATGAGGAAAGACTGAGGGAGCTGGGTCTCTATAGTTTGGAGAAGAGGAGACTGAGGGGTGACCTCATAAGTGTCTATAAATATATAAAGGGGGAGTGTCACGAGGATGGAGCCAGGCTCTACTCAGTGGCAAACAATGATAGGACAAGGGGTAATGGGTACAAACTGGAACACAAGAGGTTCCACTTGAACTTGAGAAGAAACTTCTTCTCAGTGGGGGTGACGGAACACTGGAACAGGCTGCCCAGGGAGGTTGTGGAGTCTCCTTCCCTGGAGACATTCAAAACCCGCCTGGACACATTCCTGTGTAACATTATCTAGGTGTTCCTGCTCCGGCAGGGGGATTGGACTAGATGATCTTTCAAGGTCCCTTCCAATCTCTAGCATACTGTGATACTGTGATACTGTAACTTCATTTGCCAGCTCCTTCAGGACCCACGGATGGATTTCATCAGGTCCCATGGACTTGTGCGCATTCAGGTTCTTAAGATGGTCTCAAACCTGAACCTCTCCTACAGTGAGCCTAAGATCTTCATTCTCACAGTCTCTTCATCTGTCTTTCAAGACCTGGGTGGTGTGCTCAGACCATTTGCCAGTGAAGACTGAGGCACTAAGAACCTCAGCCTTCTCCAAATCCATGGTAGCCAATTCTCCTGACAGCTTCCAGAGAGGGTCCATGTTGCCTTAGTCTGTCTTTTATTTGCTGCATACCTATAGAATCCCTTCCTGTTATTTTTCACATCCCTAGCCAAGTTTAATTCTAATTGGGCCTTAGCTTTCCTAACTTGGTCCCTCGCATCCTTGACCACATCCCTGTGTTCTTCCCAGTCCACCTGTCCTTGCTTCCACCTTTTGTAAGCTGCTTTTTTCCCCTCTAAGTTTCCTCAGCAGCTCCTTATCCATCCACGGAGGTCTCCTGGCCCTCCTGACACACTTGTCGGGATGCAACACTCCTGAGCTTGTAGCAGGTGATCCTTAAATATCAACCAACAGTCTTGGGCCCCTCTGCCCTCTAGGGCTATATCCCATGGAACCTTACTAAGCAGGTACCTGAAGAGGGCAAATTCTGCTCTCTTGAAGTCCAGGGCACTGAGCTTGCTGCACGCTCTTCTTACTGGCCTGAGCATCTCAGACTTGACCATCTCATGATAGCTACAACCAAGGCTGCCCTGGAGTGTCACATTTCCAACAAGCCCATCCCTGTTGGTGAGCACAAGGTCGAGCATGGTACCTCTCCTTGTCGGCTCCTCTATTACTTGCAGAAGGAAGTTCTCTTCCACACAATTGAGGAACCTCCTGGATTGCTTGTGCCGGGCCGTACTGTCCCTCCAACAGATATCAGGGTGGTTGAAGTCCCCCATGAAGACAGGGGCCTGTGAGCGTGAGGCTGTTCCTATCTGTTTAGAGTGCTTCATCCACAGAGTCCTCTTGATCAGGTGGT